AGGAGCTTGTGCTTGTGGTCTTCGAGCACACTTCTCGACTGGGCGATGATGAGCTAATCGTCCAGGTAGTTCAGCACGCGCATGCCACCGAGCCTCAGGGGGGGAAAGCGCTGCATTCATGCACATCGTAAACATGCGGGGGGCGAGGGCCAGCCCGAACGGTAATACTTTTAATTTTTTTAAGCGACACCCTCGAATGCAAAATCACAGAAAGTGCCTGTGATGAGGTGCTATCTGAATATGAAAATAAGCATCCTTCAGGTCTACCGCTATGAAGTAGTCCTCAGGCTGGATGTGCGCGAGGATCTGCTTTGCTGTAATCATTTTGAACATGCGCTTCGCCAGCACTCTGTTTAGCGGTCACAAATCCAATATTGGTCACATCCCCATGTACTTTTTCAGGACGAGAAATTAGCGGCTGTATAGCCCACACTCTCTGTGCTTCGGGCACTATCTCGACTGCCTGCTTGGCTATGAGGGAGGAGATTTCTCGGTGTTAGATTCTGTTTATATTACATAAATACATATTTGTACACATATATTAACTAAAATATATTTTTACAACCGTTTTTCTGAAATTTTTATCTATGCTTGTAATTTGTTTATTTCCTATGCTGATGTACTCGCCTACAAAATCACCCCAATCATTATTTTTTTCCAAATAAATTATTCGTCATGTGAATTTTTTATTTTTTTTTTTCATATCGCAATATATCACAGAAAAATAAAATATCGCAATGTGAGTTTTTTCCAATATCGTGCAGCCCTAATTCCAACACCTTGAAAACACTGCACCTGTCACCTATTCAGGAGTTAACGACCCCCCATTGAGCCCAGTTTTTTTGTGTGTGTGGGAAACATCACACCTTTGCTCTGGAAAAAAACAAAAACACTTTAAAAACCGTTTCCTTCGTTTGTTTGTTTATTTTAACAGGTTCTCTTGTGATCTGCAAAGTTGATGAAAGAGCGCTCTCTTGGCAACAGCGCCACAATTCTACATCACCATCTATGTGAACAGCATAGTGAGGACTGGATGGAGAGGACCCTGCAATACCTGTCTGCGTGTGACTAGTTTCAGGGCACCACCACACGGCCCATCACACCTCCGCCTCCCATGCTGCCTGTACCAACTGCCCAGTGGCTCCTCTCTGTCCACCGGAGGATGTCCGGTCCTGTTATAGTGAGCTAAAAGCCAGGGTCATCTCTGTCTTTGGGTCCATCCTGAAGATGGACTCCACAAAACGGGTAAAGTATTAATCACGGATTATTTTAAATACAGCTCTACATAGAGATTTGATCCTTTGTACATGTAAGGCATGTTTGGAGCTCACTGAATTGATTTGTTTTCCGACAACAGGCAGCCAAAAAACTGGCGGGAGCTGCAGCTGGGACCGCAGCCTGGGTCACCAATGTGGGCAATGAGCATGGACAGGTCCTCATGTCTGTCAGCGGCTGGAGTGATCTGGTGGTTTGTCTTGGAAGTGTGGCACTTCATGCGGCGCTTCGCTGCAGGTCTGCACACTGACAGCCACCTGCTCTATGGTCTGTTCATGGCAAAGCTCTCTGCCTGCATTTTCGTCTGGGAAGAGGGAGATGTGTCCCTGCTGAGGGAGGCGAAAAGGAGGGAGCTGGAGCAACAGCAGGGCATCAGAGGCCTCACTGATGAGCAGCTGACTGGCAGGCTCACCTCCAGACAGCTGGCGCAGCACTGCCGCCGCTGCACACGTGGTGTGGAGGAGACGGAGCAGCTGATCGGACAGATGCTGGAGGCCTTCAAGGACGCCAGGGAAACCATGGGCATCCCCTTGATGGACCAGGAGAGGATGGACGTCAGTCTGCACACTGACAGCCACCCGCTCTATGGTCTGTTCATGGCAAAGCTCTCTGCCTGCATTTTCGTCTGGGACGAGGGAGATGTGTCCCTGCGGAGGGAGGCGAAAAGGAGGGAGCTGGAGCAACAGCAGGGCATCAGAGGCCTCACTGATGAGCAGCTGACTGGCAGGCTCACCTCCAGACAGCTGGCGCAGCACTGCCGCCGCTGCACACGTGGTGTGGAGGAGACGGAGCAGCTGATCGGACAGATGCTGGAGGCCTTCAAGGACGCCAGGGAAACCATGGGCATCCCCTTGATGGACCAGGAGAGGATGGACGTCATCTGGGACACTCAAAGGCGCCATCTTCCCTGCATCCAGGACCCTCCTGGAGTGCAGCTGTACACCCAGACAGGAAGTGTTACAAAGAGAGGGCTCACACTTCCTGTGTACCGCTGCGCTCGGGGGTCCACTGCCCTGGAGTCCTTCCATAACCACCTCAACCGCTTCATACAGGGTAAGATTACACACATCCACCTCGAGGTGTGCTTTGTGATAGTCTATTTCATGTCATTTGTAATTATAAATTAGTGTTAATGTTTCCTTTTTTTAATCAGGAATAAGCGCTAACCTGGAAAATTTCCAGACTTATCTGCTTGAGGGTTTGGAGCGGTGGAACGAGGACCGCGCTGCTGCTGCCGTCACACATGATGCTTCCTTGTCGCTGCGCTGCTACAGTGGCTCGCTCCAGCACAGCCTCAATGAGCTCAGCCAGCATCTTCTTGGCTGTAGTCTTGTGCAAGACTACTCCAAGCCAGGACAGTACACAGGTATGTGTCTATTAGGGGTGGATCGGTTCGGTTTGTATCATGGTTTTAGAGTCATGGTTTCGGTATGGTTCGGTATGTGCTATGTTTAGGCAAAAACTATACTGTCAAATAAAAATAAAGAAAATAAGAATAATCTATCTAACTACAAGCAACAGCACAAATAAATACAATAGAGTAAAGATGCAAATAAAATAAACGATGATTTTCAGTTTTTTTTAGGTAGGTCTAACATTAGTTTTTAGGTACAGAAATTGAATAAAGTAATGAAATGTAAAACAGCATTGCATATTTGACTATAAATTAAAGATTAATCTTTATTAAAGTTACAAAAGCTATTCAATCAAGAGTAGTGAGTGATTTCTTTGTTGTTGCTTTTTGATTAAAGGGGTCATATGATGCGATTTTCATTTTTTCCTTTCTCTTTGGAGTGTTGCAAGCTCTTGGTGCATAAAGAAGATCTGTAAATTTGCAAAGACTAAAGTCTCAAATCCAAAGAGATATTCTTTATAAAAGTTAAGAGTCAGCTACACCTACCTAAAACGGCTCATTCAAACACGCCCCCACATATCTACCTCACTATGTGGGAAGATTTGCATAACGCTGCCAAAATGTTCACGCAAAGAAAGGAAGAGTAACTTTTATTCTCGCTGTAGTTTTGTTGCCGCTGCCGCCATGTCCTGAAGACGCTGTATGACTCTGGGACCGCCGTTCTCGACCCCGCCGCCTCAGCTCACTCTTGCCCGGCTTCAGCTCACGCTAAGCCGGGGCTTTCGCTCACGCTAGGCTGCTGTGTTTTTCGTTGTGAAAGCGAAACTACTTTGTTTGGTCTTCCAAAAGAGGACGATATCCGCTTCGTCATGTCTAGAGCTGATCTGTGCTGGTCGCTGAGGAAATACATCAACTTATTGCTGTGGATCGCCGGATCGGCTTTCACCATTTTCACCGCTCCTTCGCCGGGACCGCTGTTCTCGACCCCATGGAGGATTTTATGGAGGACTGTTTCCTGATCCTGGGAGAGTAACGTTAGACTACAATGTGGGCAGTGTAGAATAGCACTTGTAGTTTGTCATTTCTCTGATCACAAATGCAGACAGGGTTTTATGTTTACGCGGCGTGATGCAATGCGTAAAAAGACAGTATAAGTCATTATAATCAGTAATTATGTCCCCACTGGATGCAACAAATGCCTCCGTTTGTAATGGATTTTAATGCTTTTGTGTCCGCTCCGGCTGGGACACGCCATCACAGTATGGTGAGGGGTGTAACATTTCCGTCTCACTCTTGAGGTATTCGGCCAATCACAATGCACTTGATAGCTTGCCAATCACAGCACACCTCGCTTTTTCAGCCCGTTTTTTTTTTTTACTTTAAACCGCATAAACACATTTCATTACACCAAATACACAAAATAATGTTCTTTTTAGCAGCATAATATGACCCCTTTAATATTAAGAAAGTGCTGTCACTTTAAGAAAACACACTGATACAGTACATTCAGCCGGCTATGTCTGCTATAGGATACTTACCAAGACGGGCATTTTGACATAATTTTGTGTGAATTTGTCCATTTAAACACAATACTTCAGAGAGAGCTTAATATTTGCATGGGTTTGCGCGCTTCGGGTGAACACACGCACAAATCTTCTCATTGCACGCGCAAGCTCGCGTCCTCTGGCTCTTAAATGTTTAAACTGGCAAAGCTTAAATGAGTTTAGCTTAAACACAGATATCAACGTGTGCTGTTCAGGTCTCACCTGTGCGCGAGCGCTATCAGCACCCAGGTGATGACATAATAAATGAATGCTCATATTCCAGCATACGGCATTCGCATTGAACAAGAGTGAATGGTTCGTCCACGTTTTTTTTTTTTTCATCGCTGTTGTTGTAATGTATTCGGAAGCCAGAATGCGCATCCATCAACAGAAACATATATTAGCCGAACCCTGTTTGTTTTACGTGTTATTTATAGCAAACCATGTTACAGATGCGTTGTCAGATTTAAGTTGAACGTGTGTGGAGAACCGTACGGTTCCATTTTTTTTTTCCGCAAACCGTTCCACCCCTACTGTCTATAATGCCATGCTTTGTTGTTTTTTTTTGTAATGCACAGACTTCTGTTTTACAACCTTGTTTTCTATTTAATTTTCTTTTGTCAGGTGAGCTCATTCGGGTGGAGTACCTGTGCTCGCAGCAGTCCTGGGAGTTCAGGGAGAACTTTGGGCGGGACCCAGATGTCCCAGACGGAATCCCAGCGGACTTGGGAGATGTAGAAGATGAGGGATTTGGCGATGAGGCAGACTGACCACTCTGCCCATAGCCACCCCTTGCTCGTACATTTCTGTGTCGAACCCGGGTGCCAGCGCCTCCAGACATGAGCGCGTTATGACAAGGCGCTCTGTTCCTGCTCTCTACGCTTGCTGTGGGACCCGACTCTATAACCATAGTTGCAGTGGCCTCATAAGCAGCAAACCCAGGGGACAGACAGAGGCTGCAGCTCCAACAATCTCTGAAAGGTTTTCAGGGGAACTGCTCTGCCCTGCACAAAAAAGGCCAGTGTATCGCAAATGGTCGGAACCATCTGTGCTGATCAGCGTGTTAGCATCATGCGCGAGTCTAAAATCATTCCCAAAAATGTAATCGACTGGCTGGGCTGAAGCGCGCTCTTCTGCATGTTCACAGACAGACCTATGTGCGCTAAATGTGCGAGGAGCTTGTGCTTGTGGTCTTCGAGCACACTTCTCGACTGGGCGATGATGAGCTAATCGTCCAGGTAGTTCAGCACGCGCATGCCACCGAGCCTCAGGGGGGGAAAGCGCTGCATTCATGCACATCGTAAACATGCGGGGGGCGAGGACCAGCCCGAACGGTAATACTTTGAATTTTTTAAGCGACACCCTCGAATGCAAATCACAGAAAGTGCCTGTGATGAGGTGCTATCTGAATATGAAAATAAGCATCCTTCAGGTCTACCGCTATGAAGTAGTCCTCAGGCTGGATGTGCGCGAGGATCTGCTTTGCTGTAATCATTTTGAACATGCGCTTCGCCAGCACTCTGTTTAGCGGTCACAAATCCAATATTGGTCACATCCCCGTGTACTTTTTCGGGACTCTCTGTGCTTCGGGCACTATCTCGACTGCCTGCTTGGCTATGAGGGAGGAGATTTCTCGGTGTTAGATTCTGTATATATTACATAAATACATATTTGTAGACATATTAACTAAAATATATTTTTACAACCGTTTTTCTGAAATGAATTATGTACAACAATTATTTGCAACACAAACATATTGAAAAAATGTGTTTGTTTGGCCTACTTTGTCTGTCCTTTTTTGACTTCCTCCAGCCACTGTGCCACAGTCTTCCCAGAGGCCTTCGCCCAAAAATGAACACCCTAGAACTGGCTGTGGCCAAACTCTTTAGTCTTTGGCTGGCCACATTTTTGACAAAGGTACTATTCCGGGGTTTGTCTTTTTGTAGGTGTCACACCTTGTGATCTGGCTGCTGCGGCTGCCTTCCTTCGACAGCAAGCTGTGGTCCCGGGCACCCTTTGATCGTGTGGTGCAGGTATGGGTGCAGCAGCAAAGGGTGCAGGAGCTGGTCCATGTCCATATGCTGCAGCAGGTACAGGTACAGCAGCGGATGTGGGTACAAGAGAGGGTGCTGCAGTAGACGTGGATGCAGCAGCAGGTGCTGGTAGAAGTCCAGGTGCGGTCATTGAAGGACGTTGGCCTCGAACGTGCTGTCTTGCCTGTCCAGCAGTGTCCTCATGGATGGAAAACTCAAAGGCTGAGTGTCCGTGCTTGAGTGTCTATGCTGGATTGCTTCCGGTAGTTTTGGCAGTACCGGTGGGAGCTGTTCAGTGGCCACCAAAGGAGCAGTAAAAGGCTCAATATCCTGCTGCAAGACCTCCCTCTCCTGGCTCTTTATTCGGGCATTGTGCCTATATACAGAAAAGACAAAAATAAGTATGTGTGTAAAAATAAATTATGAATATGAAAACAGATGCAAACACGAACAATTAATTACTGAACCTACCACTGGGAGATAGTGAGCTGGTTTAGCTCAAAGAGCTTTAATTTTGTCTGAGCCATGATTCCGGGGCTGCCCAGGACTATGTCTTGGATCATCCTGTAATCCCTTAGGATGGCAGCCCATCGGTTTATCCGGACTCCGGCGATGGTCTGACCGGCAGGGTAAATTCGGCAGAGAGCCAGGCAGATGGCTTCCACTACTCGGCTTGTGCTGGGCCACTGAGCTGGTCCACCTTCACCAAGGAAGCATCTGCAAAGTGAAAAAGGAGGAAAGTACAGTTAATCAGACTATTTGACAGATAGCGGTCAAACAAGTGGATAACATTGGTAACGAGACTGGTTATGATTATAGCCAAGATACAGAGAACTTTCAAGAGATACAAATGATAATAACTAACAAAGAAAAAAAACTGAAACCAGTACCTCTTCAGACTTTCAGTTCCAGGGGTCACATTGGTCTTCGAATGGCTGACCTTGAAGCAACCCTTCAGGACTCTGTCACGGTGGTGGGGGGGATAGATGAGAGGGCCCTTATCATGATCTGACAGGTTGTTCCACAGCATGACAATCTCATCCACCTTACTCTGAGTGACAAACCCCTGATGGGGCAGGTCAACCAGACTGTCGGCCAGCCTTATGATGTGGTCATAACCAGCTTGGCCATCTGGTCCCACACTCTCCGTCTGTACATGAAAAGAAATTAATAAACTGCTCTGTTATCAATGTCAAAAACTTACCAAAATTAAAGGATTTTTTCAGTCAGTCAGCCATTCATTATTACAAAATAAACCCCAAATGAAATATCAACATCATCACACACACCATAAAACCTCAGTGTACACTGTGTGTTTATGGGTATTCATTTAGCTGGCTCTGAGTGGACGAGGCAGGAGAGGAAGACTCCGCTGCTGATGATGAGGACTGACCAGGAGGTTGTAGGGCCGCTGTCTGTTCCTGAGGGGGCTGCAGGTCATTGCCCTCGAGTTCCATAAATTCAATGGGCTCATCAAGGCACAGATCCTCAAACCTCTCATCACCCTCCAGATCCCCCTGCAGGT